AAGTGGACAAATCGTTGCTGAAAATGATTGTAAAAATGTATTTGTTTGCAAGGTTGTTAAACTTTAAACGGCCCTAAGAAAAATCGATAAAATAGATGGTTAATTAGGGAATGTAAATACTTATGATGGCCCTAAAACGGGCCAGTGGTGACACTTCCAGTCATTCCGTATTATTATTCTCGATGATGGAGAGCCAGCTGCAGATAGCTTGACTCTTACCCTTGGAGTCTCTGAGTACGGATACCGCGCTGGAGAAAGGTACGCCGCTGGCCGAAGAATATCTCGTTTTCAGGTCGTTTCCCAGATAACTCATTGTTCACCGTTAATCCGGGAAGAAAGCCTTGAAAATATCTCCTCTGTAGGTATGCCGTCAGGACAAGCCACTGAGAAGGAGGCCGATAAAATTTCCACATTGGCTGGAAATTTCATCAGCCTCCTCCTCAGTGTTATTGTTTCTGGCTTGGTGTTGTAGCAAAATCTTCTCTGGTAGCATTAGGTTGATTGGGAGAATGGCCATATATAACCCTAAAGTGTTTGAGAAAATTGTGCTTTAGCTGGACAACTTTAAGTATTACGCTGTAGACGTTGGCGTTTAAAAGGTCTTTTTTTCATGGAACTCGTTAATCTTGGTAGTTCGGGACGGAATTCAAAGTACGTCACTTGTTCATTGGAGGAAAGTGTTGTAGGTGGCCCGGATACCCTGCTGCACGACTCGCAACTTTATTCTTCATGCACTGCCAGTGGATGTCTGTCTACTTAGCAATTTTTTCGGGTAAATTATAACCAGACTTATGTTGTATAACCCGACACATTTACTGACAGCGCCTTAACTATAAAATTAAACAAATAAAATCATAAACAGCTTATGTCTGTTAACGCTATTCCATCCATCATATTTATTGTATTTGCAGCTATTTCCATCTAGTTTAACAAATTATCTGACTTGTTTTTTCCATGTAAAAAATTTCACACAGTTTATCCCTTGTAAATCGACATGCTTACTGCCGGTATGATTATTAAATTATTAAAAATATAATAACTTGTGCGACCTACCCCGATAACTTAATGCTCTTACTGCTAGAGCCTTTGTAGTTTAATTTAATAAATAAAATACCAAATAACTAATTTTGTATAACCTAACGCGTGTACTGCCAACACTTGTGTAAAATAAATAACAAAATAGAATATCAAACAGATATTTCTCTATAATCAAATGCGCCTACTGACAATATGTGAATTGTATAATTAAATAAATAAAATCCCAAACTGCTAATCCACCATTACCCGACGCATTTACTGTCAGCGCGCTTATTAAGTTGAAAATAAAATAAGATCTCAAACAAACAATTTTCTATAACTCCACGCCACTGCTGCCAACGCATTTATTTAATAAAAAAATTATACAAGCAGCCTATCTTTTGTAATTCCATACTCTTAATTCCAGTGCGTTTATTGTATAATTTAATAATGAAATCCCAAATAGCAACTTGCCTATGATCAGATGCACTTACTACTAGTACGTATTTACAATTATAAATAAAATGAGATTACACAGTTAATCTTCCATAATTTAACGCTAGTACGTTTTGAAAATTATAATAAAATAAATTTTTGAGCAGTCTATCCCTTATTATCTAATGCTCTTACAACCTGTGCGTTTATTGTACGGTTAAATAAATAAAATTCTGAAAATCTTATTCCCCATAATCTAACATACTTACTGCCAGCGTTTTAAATAAATAATAAAATACCATTCCAAACGAATAATTTCATATAATCCAATTCTCTTACTGCCAGCGCACTGATTAAATCAACAATAACATAATGACACGTTCAGTTTACCTCCTACAATTTGACTTGCCTCAGCCAGCGTATCTGTTGTATAACAAAATGAATAAAATCTTCAACAGCTCATCCTTATAATCCGACATGATAACTGCTGGCACGTTTATTAAATTATTAAACGTATAAAAATACATGCGGCCAATCCTCCTTAACCCAACGCTCTTACTGCTTAATTGTTTATTGTTTAATTAAATAAATAAAATACCGAACAGCGTATCCCATCTAGCCCATTACGTGTACTGACAGCACATTTATTAAATCAATAATAAAAAATATTCTGAACAGGGAATCCTCTACAACCTGATACGCTTATTGCGAACGCGTTGATTCAATAAAACATAAAATAATAACCCGAGCAGCGTATTTCCTCGAACATTGCGCAGCTACTGCCAGTGGATTTGTTGTATGATTTATCAAATAAAGTCCTGAACAGCTAATCCTACATAACCCAAAGCACGTTTATTCATTTAACAAGAAAATCATAACACATTCGGCCTAGACCCTATAATCCAACGAATTTACTACAAGCAGTTTTGTTGTATCTTTTGATAAATGAAATACTTAAGGGAGTTGGGTTGCAATTCACTTAACGATGAAAACATTANACTGCCAGTGGATTTGTTGTATGATTTATCAAATAAAGTCCTGAACAGCTAATCCTACATAACCCAAAGCACGTTTATTCATTTAACAAGAAAATCATAACACATTCGGCCTAGACCCTATAATCCAACGAATTTACTACAAGCAGTTTTGTTGTATCTTATCAAGGCTCTGCTCCTTAAGGGAGTTGGAGCGCAATTCACTTATGGACGAAAGTGTTTCAAAAAAGAAAAATATTTTGTAAAGAAACATTGCATGGATGTAGTCACCAAATTTGAGCACAATCGCGTCTACAGATTTCGAGAAAAAAATTCATGAAGTGTCCCTTTTTCGTCGTCTTTAACATGGGCTCAAATGTAAGTTATCAAAAAAGTTGTAAAAAAATACCTATTACTCTTGACACAGCGATGAGAATGTTTTGAAAAACTGATATGTTATTTATAACAACTTCATTCGTATACGTGCAAAGTTTCAATAAAATCGTGTCTGCAGTTATGGAGATATTTGCACAAACGTAAACAAATTTGTTTCCTGCTTGTATGCTTCATTCATGTGGTGGACAAGGACGCACTGAGTACACTGTTTGCTGTCAGCTCGACTTTTTACGTGGCGCGATAGCTTTTCACAAAATCACTTCTAGAAGCCGTTCTACTCAAAATTATGATCTCAAACTTGGTATAGGCCTTAATGAGACTTTATACTTTAATGATACACCATTAAAACCTCTAATTTCGAAAACTTATAGCACACTTTTATTAAAAAAAGATCAGATTAACTGTACCGTTTACTCCTTATTTTTTATTTCTCATAGAGAAAGTATTTAGGCTATTTGATTAATACCATAAGAAACGAGATACCTTGAAGAATATTCTGTAATTTCTTAAAAGTCTTTTATTTAAACGTTAACGAGTACTGGCGAGTCGAACACAAATGCATTTTCCGTAATCGAAAGGGTGGATGTTTTTAGGCTAGGTTAGAACAGCAGACTTTAGCACGGTGCCTTATGAACATACACGTGCTCCCCTTTACCTCCCCGCGGGAGCGACCCAACTCCCTTAACTGTAAATTAAATAGATGAACTTTAAAACAACCAATCTTCTTTAACCCCACGCGTTTCTTTCCAGCGTGTTTATCACATTGATGATAAAATTCTAATCTGAGTAACACATTCCCTGAAATCTGATTGTTTCGCTGCCAGTGTTTTTATTGTATAACTAAATAAACTAAAACCTGAACAGCTGACCACTCATGAACAAATGCGTTCACTGCCAACGCGTTAAGATCCTCAACAGCTAGTCTTCCATAATTTGAAGGACTTACAGCCAGTGCATTTATTAAGTTTTCTACAAAATAAATATACACGAGTAGTATATCTCCCATAGTCTAATGCTCTTATTTAAATAATAATAAACTGATAACATGAGCAGCCTATCCACTATAATCTAATGCTGTCCCTGCCAGTGCGTCTATGGTATAATTAAATAAATAAAAACCAGAACAGCTTGTCTCTCATAACGTGGTGCACTTACTGTCAGTGCGCTTATTGAAATTATAATAAGACGAAAACTCGAGCAGCCTATTCCCTATAATCTTGTGCTTTTATGGCTAACGCGTTTATTGTGTGATTGAATGAATACAATCCTAAACAGTTAATTACCCATAACCTGACGCGCTTACTGCTAGCGCGATAATTAAATTAGGAATACACTAATAACACGAGTGATATATTCCCTGTAACCTTACGCAATTATTCCCAGCCTGTTTATTGTTTAATTAAACCCCAAAAAACTGACCTTTTAACAAAAGTAAAAGACTAGGAAAGATTGATACATTACAATAATTAATCACGTGCATTATAAGTTTTAAGTAGTAATAAATTAGTTGTAAATAATAACAAATTTATACAGATTACATAGTTACGAAAAAAAGAAAAAAAAATTCATGGGGTAGGACACCTTTGCATATTCAGAATTTAAATTGAAAAACAACTACATATTTTTTCAGTCGACTTATCAACACCTTTATATACGTTGCATGATTTTTTTATGTTTTCTCTTCTATAATTTAAAAAGTTTTGTAATTTAAGGAATACGTATATAGTTATGCTATAATTCATAAATATAACTCTTTTACTTAAATCAAAATCTTGTGATATTTTTGGGCAAATACCTTTGTGTTCCAATTTTCTGAGACATTGAACGTTTACTCTTCCATATACAATTTTTAGTAATAATTTTGAGAATTGCTTGTTATTAGAGCGAATAGTTACGTATTATTTCAAAATATGGAAATAAAATTTTAAAAAATTTTCTCTGTTTAGCGAAGAATCATTATTTTTGATTATTGTAATGCTTTAAATTATTTAATTCTGGTACATTGTAATATACAAAGATGACCATAATTTTAATAATAATTGTTTTTCATAACCCTTAGTTAACATTACATACGTGTTTCGTAAAAATATTTTTAATTATTTTTCGTTTAGAATTCCGTAAAACTTAAATGACGTAAAATATGTAACGTTAAGTGTTTTATTCAATCCAATTAATAACTTGATTTTAACATAATGTGTATTATCTTAAGGTACAAGACTGGAAAACCAGCCATGAAGGCATTTTGGCACGGGACTAGGTGTCTCGAAAGTAGCCCGAGCAACTTCTTCAAAGGTAACTGCATTCAGGATAAGAAGAGCAACCTGTGTTTTACGCTCTTGACCCCATATGAGTGAACTTAAAACAATACCATCATCTTCATTCTACAAAAAGTAGGAGATTTTAATAGTATACCTCTTTGAAGTAACACAGACAACTTCTATATTACCTTTCCTTCTGGATCAGGTACAAATATTGGCTCACTGGGGTACACGTTCCTTTCGCACCAAATCAATTTAGTTTTTAACTCAGTATCAACTTTCACAAGCTATAATAAGGTGGGACGAAAAATTATTTCATTCGGTTCTGACATTGTTAAAAATCGTTTGACAAGTACTATTTACCATCCCAGAATTTTCTCTGTCAACATCACTGCATATAGCATAAAAATATCTATATTTTCGTCCCACATTAAACTTGTAGTTAATTTGTGGTGTTTCACATCCCAAGTCACACAATAATTCTGGTACAACATAAGCTTTAGCATTTGGTAACTTAAAGGCTGCTGACTTTTTTTGCAAAACATCATGAACGTTTTTTTTGTTATCTTCTAATTTTTTTTTTCTGCCACTTTTTCTAATGTTAACGTTGTTAGTTTTAGTTGAACCAATTTCAGGCAGAACACGTAACTCAGAATCTTTCAGCGGTAAAATAAATCGAAGAGGTCTCCCACGAAAAAATTTACTATAATCTGGATTTTCATGGGCATTCTGAAAATTGAAAAAGAATTATGTAAAAAAGATAATTTTTAAATCATACTCTAGGTTAAAAAAAAATTACAACCACACCTCTATAGCTTCAACGAACATGCAGTCTAAAATTTTTGGATCACGATAGCAACAAATGTCCAAAATTACAGAAAGTCCATCCTGAGTCTCATATTGATTAATGATATGTAAGAAAAAGAAGGCCTCAGTAACGAAAGTTTTTACTGCTTTTCCATTTTTACGGGACACGAGATGAATCTGAGACTAAATAGATTATCAAACTTTTTAGAAAGATATTGTATTACAGCTTAGATTCACGTGTTATTTTAATTTATTCTACTACATTTAAAATTTATGTAAAAATCTGTTCTTATAAGAACGTTAAAATTAAAAAAAATAGAATAAAACGTTACACAACGGATTTCAGATCATTTGGCTTGCATTTTTTAAAATATATCAATATAAACGAAGTAATTTGAGTTGTGCTAGGCTTCATAAGAGCCATAAAAATGATTGTGTAAGACTTTTTTCCAAGATACGACATATAGTACATTTTTGATTAGAATTGAGTTAATCGCCAATGATAGCAGATGTACAACAGTGAATAATTAAGTTAGGGCTTTCGTTGAGCTTCAATACAAGTAACAAGTTGTAATAAATCAACAAAATGTTTTTTTTTTCAATTTTACTGCTATATTATCTACCGTTTGACCCAATATCAAGCTAGTTTGTTCAGTTTCAGGAATCTCATATGTTACAACAAAAACATACTGATTCAAATAATTTTTTGAGTTATACTTCTATAGAAGCGTTACGCACAAGAGTAAATTAACGATTTTAGAATTCTAACTTTAAGAAAATATGTAACGTAAGTAGATTTTCGTACTTTACTTCCCGTTCGTCCCACCTCAGTAGTTATTGCGACACACTGCCTCATCACAACAAACCCCCACCACCTGGTGAAAGTTTTGGAACAGGCAACTGTGCTACCGCTCACTTACTAGAAAATGGGAGGAATATCCCTGCCCTCCACCACCCCCACCATCTGGTGAGAAATTCTAAACAGAGCTGCTGTACCACTGTATACTTACTATAAGAGGAGGTATCCCCTCCTCCCACACCTGAACTGGAAAGACTTTCCGGACAAGTCACCGTACATTTCCCATCCTCACATTTTCATTGTGTATGTGTTTGATTGTATTGATTATGAATAAGCGAGTATACCAGAAGGATATTTAGCCTTCAAACTTTGATTTCTTACTGTAGTTTGCATTGTTATAAGGAAAAGAAGTAACTTTACGGTTAAATAACAACAAGATAAGTACATTTATTTCATTTATTTCTATAATTCATAGCATTAACAAGGAAATTTACATGAAAATACGCAGCATTGTACGCAATATCACACATACGATCTTTTGTCAAAGTCTCTTGTTTTAAAATTTCATGTGCTAAAACTTTTTCGTAAATACTCTGCATATCGTTATCATTCAAATCACTCACAAAATTTTTTACAACGTTTGGTGTGTTGTAATCAATTTGTGCTTGATGCACACTACTACCTTTTCCTGAGGTAAAGTCTAGAAATCCCTCCACTACAATAGGCACATAATCTGATAATTCGCTGAATGTGAATAAATTACAATTGATGCAATGGACAATTATTTTGTGTAGATAATCACACGTTACTTTTTTCAACACTAAATTAATACTTCTTTGCAGCTCTCTCGTCTTCACTTTGTCTTCTCATTTCTTTAACCTCGATGGATTTTTCCTTAAATCTCTTCGTAAGCTTCCAGGACCAGTTGGACCCATAAATCTTAATTTATTGCAAGTTATTTTAATCCGTTGGAAAGTATTTTTTAATGTTGGAGAAAGCTTATTTAAACTCGTTCCAACTAGAAATTGTATAGGAATTCCTTTGAATTCTACGGCAAACAGACAAACAATAGGTTTCCACTCGTTGTCTAACAATTTTCGTATTTCAGCCCAAAAATTACTTTTTTATCAAATGATTTACTCAATCCATGAAGCTTAGAAATACTCTGAGGGAGCGATGATTGTTAATGCTGCCTCGAGGCTGACAGATCCAAAGCTTCTCTCTTTCTAAGACTCTCTTTTTCACAGGCTCCATTGTCTCCTCGTTATAATATACTAACTGTTGAATGATTGACCAGAGACTGACAGCTCCTTTTTTTGAAGCACAAATGTATGCAACTCATTATTTGGAAGAGCAGGGGGTGTTAAAAACGCTTGGAGGTGGTAAATCATGATTAAGCTTGTCAAAACTCTATCACCAAGCATTTTTAGATGGTACTACTTCAAAAACAAGTATGAACACTAAAATACAAAAATGCTGACTGTACAGTTAGAGATAGGCATATAAAATGCTAACATTTTGATTTCTTAGAACTTATCACACACCGTAGCTACATTTTTTGGAACACGCAGACTACAAATAATAAGCACAAAATTACAACGGTATATAACAAAAGATTAGAGTTAAATTTTATGTTAACGACATTTTATTACAATTACTTCACAAGCATTTTATTAGACATCCACCGTTACCAGTGTAACGGTGCCCCACCGTTAGGCCACATTAGTAGGCTAGGGCAGGTAGGGAAGCAGGGAAAGGGGGAAAGAGTGGAAAAGGGCCTAAATGGGAAAGCGGGAAGGGAAAGTAGGGGAACGGGAGAAAAGGCCAAGAGAGCGGCAGATTAGCTTGGGCCAGCGAACGCGCGTGAAGCGAATTTTTCCTTCTTTGCCGTCTCTCTTTGTTTTTTCCGTTGTTTTGGTGCATGAAGTTTTTGTTGGAGCGATAACGTTTGGAGTTATTTCGACGTCACGGAAAGTGTTGGTACCGTGACCCGGCTCCTGAACCCGTTGACAAGGTCGGACCAAGGCCAGGCCTGACGACCTTGACCTCCACACGCAGCCAGTAGGGACGCCTACTGGCCTCTGCGAACTCACGCCAACAGCGCCTAGTTCCGCCTATCCAAGGCATCTACGAGGAGCGACCTCCCCGCATCGCGTAAGTACCTGCCAACCAGCAGTCTATTGTAAAGGGCAGCGGCCCTAGATTAGCCCGCGTAAGTCTGCCCAGTTCGCGTTTTCGCGCCACGAGCACGTCGAGCAATCGCGCGAGAACCAAACTTACACCCGCGAGTACGAATTGTAATCTCTTATTTATTTAATTGAATATATTTCTTATTTTAAACTTGGTCGCGAGTGCTTCCTTTTGTGTGTGCCCGATTCCCTTGTGTCGTACTAAAGTCGTCGCGAGAGGCGACGACGTGCAAGGTCACCGCGATACTCGTCATCTGCGGGGTCTCGGAGAGCGAGACCCGCGTACAAAGTTTTATCGGAGGTGTCGCCGAGGGTACCCGGGCAACACAGGCCCGGTCGAGGTTGCCAAGTCCGCCTCACTACTCCACATCGGCAGCACCCCGTAACACCAGATACATAGTTTATATTTCTTTTGTTACATCTTAATGAAATAAAACGTCTCGCGATTTCATCATTTTTTCAAATCATCGAAAAAATTGTCAAGAAATTTTCTGAAACCCAATTTATGACTTGTGTAAAACAAAAACATTAAACAAAATTAACCGCACACATTTAAGGATAGGCTTTGTAGCTGTTTAACATTCGAACGCAGTTTTTTATAATTTTTTCGTAAGCGATTGATATGATCCGATATACGGTTGTACACCAGAGCTATCGAAATACAAGACATTACCTTATTTATCAGCATACATAGCAACCCAACGAGTACCGGACTCTGTATGATTGTCAGTGTTTATGACAAGCATTGTCGATTTCGTCCACACCTATGGGATCTGATTTGCTGGGAAGACACCCACAGTATGCGAGGGTAGTTCAAAATTTTAAAAATCGCTTTTAAAGGTACTTTAAAAAATTAAGTCCATGATGATGTCGGGATGATTAAATATTTTGTCGTTACGCCTCCTTACTCAATTTTTGCAAGCGACAAGAAGGTGTTACTACCTAATATGCGAAAAAGACACTGTTCAAAGCAACGATAGCAATTTTTTCGGCACCGTTACATCTTTTTTAACTTTAAAATACTGAATGTCTACTATAAGATCCATTGCGTTTCATGGCTGGTTAAACATACCAAAAGAAAGTAAACCGAGAGACCACTGACATGTCCAAGCAGTGAGTGTAAGTACATGTAGTTGGTGGTGCCATTCAGCCACAAAAGTCGACCGTTATTTGACGTGACGCATCGACTTCAAGAATATTTTCGTACTCAGCATATACTATAAAGTTAATAATCTAAATAAGAGCATGGGCAAATCAAACATTCAATCTAACGCTACCATGTTTAATGAGGTTTCAATGAGAACATTCGTTGGCTGATAAATCTGGTGTTAAATCCAAAACAATGAGACAGTAACCGTTGGAATAAAATTTGCCATGTATATGATTTCCTTCATTGAGAAAGTAAACACGAGTATCCAAAAACAAGGTATGATAAGCATCTATGTATAAATTATTCGTTTTAAAGTCTGGCTGTATATAATAATTTGGAAAAACATTGAACGCTGTTAATGTACAATCAAAGAAAATTAGTATGGAAGCGATAAAAATTAAACAGATTCATAGCTCGATCGCCATCATCAGCTTGATTTTTAACGAAACTGACGATTATTCACTTAGGTAACTGGCCCAAAGTTACATTATCCAAAGTTTCGCCATGAATACCGCTGTGCATCGTCACAGCTTTTACTTCTACACACGCTAGCAGATATTTTGCCATGCTCTTTGACAGAGCTTTGGTAGGAGCTAGTAAAACAGATTGACTCATTTTAACGCACACTACTAAAACGTTTGCTTTTTCGATACGAAGGGAAACTAAGTTCGAAGTGTCCATGAGACAAAATGCATCACAAGATCTTACTTATCGCATTCTTGCCTCAACGCTATTGATGTGTAATTTTTCTTGATTGCATACATCACAATGAAGATGACCAATCAGATCAATTGATTCCCTTGCTAGTAGTAATATACGCTGATGGATGAGCTCGGTGTTGGCATCCAACATATCGTCCATTTTTGTCACCGTATCATCGCATCGTAAGGCACTTGTTGAGTGTAATGGTTTTTCCGCAGGTTTGTGATTTAATAAAGCTTCCAAATATGCTCTGTAAGTGTGTGCGTTGTTAGAAGGTACTACAGATTTCTGATTGAAAAACATATCAACTTAATTGAACAACGAATGCATAACATTATTTATT